TTTTTTTTGGTTTTTCTCCGGTACCGGGAACCGAACTCACGACCTTGCGCTTGCCAGGCAGGCGCTTTTGCCACTGAGCTAAATCCCCAGCCCCATAAAGCCTCATCTTGATTTTTTTTTTGGTACTGGGAATTGAATTTAGGACCTTGCACTTGCCAGGCATGCATTGTGCCACTGAGCTATATCCCCAGCTCCTTCTTGAAAATGTACCTTCCTCATTGATCTTTTGCAGATGGGGAGGGTATTTAGAAATGGAGAGAAGAGGAAGGCAGAGGAGGGGTAGGTACGTGAGTAAAAAGAATTAAGATATGTTAAGTAATATGCCTACTCCCCAAGCTGACATTATGTACTGCAAATGTGTACTGATGCAGAAAAAACGCACCATCTTCATTTTTTCTCCTATAAAGTTCATATTAGGTGCCTTACCCTCTGACGAAAGCTGAGGCACCCTGTCATACAGTGTTCTAAAAAACCATTTCTGTTTTTTTTTTTTTTCGTCCGGTACCAGGAATCGAACTTACGACCTCACGCTTGCCAGGCAGACGCTGCACCGCTGAGCTAAATCCCCAGCCCTAAAAAAACATTTCTGAAGGGTTAATCAACATAACACAGTTCAAGCACTCACTGAATACATATTTCAGAACCATAGTTCCGTAGCTGAGTTCCATGCTGAGTGCGATGGAGACAAAAATGAATAAAGCAGATGCAGTCCCTGCCTGGTCTTGTAGGTTTCCTGCTTCTACACCAAATTCATGCAGGCCTGCCCAGGCCTTCTATTCCCACCACGTAGTCAGATCTTTCAAGTTGAAATAACACACTTTGCAGAAGACATTTCTCACGTTTGTGGCTGCCCAGAATCTTTTGAATACTATTCCTATATTTGGGGATTTCTCCCCCACAATATAATTCCTGCCTCAAGACCAAAAACAGAACTGTTTCCTGGCCTTTCTCAGAAACAGAGCACAAGCAATTACCTGGGTATTGCCAGCTGATGCAGCGACAGAATTAATTCACTTGACTGACAAGAGGGCGACCCAAGGAAACAAGCTTTAGGAAGGATTCGTTCCCAAGTCACAGTAAGAGTAGAAGAATCCAGCTTCGCAGGCACATTAATGAAGGCTTGGACACCCGGTGTCCCGCAGTGTAACCATGGCAGCATCTCACGCAGCTGGCCACAGAATGGTTTGTTTCTGCCTATGTACACGCTAAGCCTCTCTAGCTGTCCTAGAGATGCCATGAACTGTCTAAGATTTCCAACTGCTTATCTTTTAAAATTAGTGAGAGTGAGTTCTGTTCTTTGCAAAGAAATACATACTGAAGTAGGGTTTTGGCACACTTCTGTTACTTAAACTTTTTTTTTTTTTTTAATTTAAGGTGCACATTATTTAGCTGTAAAAAAAAAAAACAAAAAAAAACAAAAAACAAAAAACAAAAAACTACATAGTTATTCCTGGCGTGGTGGTGTACACCTGTAATCCTAGCACTTGGGAGGCTGAGGCAGGAGGATCCTCCTGAGTTTGAGACCAGCCTGGGCTACAAGGTGAGCTCAAGGCCAGCCTGAACTGCATAGGGAGACCCTGTTTCAAAAAGACAAAAACAAACAAACAAACAAAACAAAACAAAAAGACCCACACATGTACTTCACTCTATAAACATTTATCACAGGCCTACCTAGCATGTGTCAGCCACTAGGATAGGATATTGAATAAAATAGCTCCCTGCAGCTATAATAAAGAATAGCATATTATACTTTAAATGTGCCCATTAAAGGAATCCTGATCAGAGACCCCTCTAAGCACCCAGCACCACCAGCACAGCTGCATGAGGACTCAGGAACCGGTCAGCTCTGCAGCTGACAGCAGTCCCTGCTCCTGCGCTTTCCCAGGCCTCATCCTCGCTCCCTCAAGCCTTGCTCCAGGCAGGGCGCCACAACCTCCTCACTGAGCCCCCCAACCGCCCCCGCCCCCACGAAGGACCCCAGAGCCTCGGGGAGCGGCCGGTCTCCCTGGGGCCAGAGCCGTCCCTCTCAGGATTGTCCCGCAATAGTCTGTCCCTCTTCGTCCTGACACCCATGCCGAAATAGAAGACACCAGTACAGCAGCTGTCTGGAGAGGACCTCCTGCCAGCCAGGCCCCGTTTTAAATATAGAAGGTCCTTAAAAATAGCCACCCTTGTTCTGGGCTCAGCAGGTGATTGGCTCAAAACGAGGGAGGAGAACCCAGGCCTGCGCGAAGGACGGGGAAGGACGGTGCGGTTCCCAGCGCCCGCAGCTATGGCTCTGCCTCTGAGGTCCCTGCGTAGGGGCTTCGCCAGCGCAGCCAAAGGAGAGCACGGAGGGACAGGAGGTGAGTGCGGCTGGGGCCCGACCCGGTGGCTTCCCTCGCGTGGCCCCCTTCCCCACCTCCCGGGCGCTGGTCCCCCCAGCGCGCGCAGCGCCTCGCCTCCTCTCACCGGCCTCCCCCCACCAGCGCGCACCTGGCGCACCCTCACCTTCGTGCTGGCGCTCCCCAGCGTGGCCCTCTGCACGCTCAACTCCTGGCTCCACTCGGGCCACCACGAGCGCCCCGAATTCATCCCCTACCACCACCTGCGCATCCGCACCAAGGTACGCGGCCGGGCCTGGCGCGGGTGGGGTCGAGAGCGCGGGCGGGGGGCCGGGGACCCCAGGCCGGACCGCGCTGACGCCCGCTGGCCCTGGTCCCGGTCTCCACAGCCCTACTGCTGGGGGGACGGCAACCACACTCTGTTCCACAATCCCCGCGTGAACCCTCTGCCCACGGGCTACGAAGACTCCTGAGACCCCCGGCGGACCACCGCCGGCCAGCGCAATAAAGGCGTGCAAGTTCTGGAAGTTCTGCGTCCTTGGGCTCCTGCGCTGCGGCGGTGTGTGTGTGTGTGTGTGTGTGTGTGTGTGTGTGTGTGTGTGTGTGTTTCAAACAATGGACACTAAAGTCCTCTACATGGGGTCTCTAATTCTAGATCTGGTGCATTTCTGGCGTTCTCTATGATGGCCTCTAAGGGATCTTCTGTATTAGTAAGGAAATCAGAAGCTCCTTCCTGGAAAGTTGACTCTCCAGGCTTCTGGGCTTCAAGGGTGACATAGGCTCAGATGAGCGCGGGACATTTCATCACCCTGTAGGACACTCTTCTCCTGGCCATTGCTAAGGAGCCTGCGGCCTGTGCTGAACCCAACACACACACACACACACACACACACACGCACACACACACACACACACACGCACACATGCACGCACCCACACACACGCACCCCTCCTTTGCTCTCTCCCCTGATACCACTCATAACCATCAAGAAAAGATGGCCTGGGGCCCCAGGTCCCTAAGAAAGTGAAAGTGTTCTATACGCACAAGGAGGTCCCCCAAGTATGCCTAGAACAGCACTGAGGTCCCTGGGTTAGAGCTCTTTCATGCAAGGAAAATAAGATATCACATCCTCATTATTTGTGGCAGTTTTGTACCATACAAAAATGTATGCTGGTGTCATGCCTGCTTCTATAAGAAAAAGATCATCACTGAAGTTTGACAGATTTACAAAAATATAAAAATCTTTCAACTCCTCTAGATAGGTTCCTCAGGCCAGTCCAGATCTGTGCGGAAGTCCTTCCCATGAAAGCAGAAGTATACAGAGACGAGGCCAGCTCATGGGGTGCAGATAAATAGGAAAGTGGGTTCTTAGGACACAGGCAAATCGGGAGCTTCATAGCTGACATCCTCCTCACTGAAGATGGCAGGGTCTTCACGTTTGCCACCCAGCATTTCTTTGTACTGCCGTTTGAAAAAGCCTAGCTAGAAGAGAAAATAAATTTTAGAAACTGGGTGAGAGGGCAGAGAAGAAAGTCAGAACTAGGATAAAGTTGAGCGAGAACAAGGGGAGAAGCAAGCTGGTCTGTTTGCTGAACAGCCACGAGGACAGCAGCTGTCACGCTGAGATCTGCTGGCTGCCGAGTACCGTATTTACATACATCGTCTGTGATGGAAGAGCATCGGTTCTGTAGTCAGGCAGGTTCGCACCCTGGCCTCATTTCTTTCTCTCTTCAACCGATCGGTGGTGTAAGCCTTACTATCGTTTCAAAAATGAGACACATGGTCTGAGAGGTCAAGCAACCTGCCTAACATTAAATGGGGTATAAGTGGTAGAAGCAAAGCATGTGCCTCGGCCTGCTCCGCACATTGGTTCGGGTTCTCACTGCTTTGTCCTGTCTGTGGGAGGGCTGGGGTTGGATGATAGTGGTGTTAGGAGCAGCATAAAACACTCACCTTGTACAGTGAGGCTGTGATGAGGGCCAGCAGCAGCAGGCCTCCCACAGAGCTGCCCACCAGGAGGGGGATGGGAATGTAGGCCTCAAATTCTTCTAGCACAGTTTCCGTCTGGATGAGAGGTCAGAAAGATCGGTCTTACGCTTCCTCGGACTCCTCCAGGTTCCCCAGCTTTCAGCTCCCACTCCTCCCTCCCCAGGCCCTGCTCCAAGTAGTGGTAGGCAAAAGTCCTGCCCAGAGGCAATTGTCCTGCCTCAGCCCTCCTCCCTCTGGGCTTGCGCATGCTCAGCCAACACACGGACGGGAAGCAGCATCCGGGCCCTCTGACCAGCCCGGCCACTGCCTACCACGCAGTCGCTACCTGGGCTCTCAGAAATGCCTCCTGCCCTGGAAGCTGGGAATACACGGATCTGTCGAACGTGATTTCAGCCACGCTGACGACCAGCACCTTCTTCTGCAGTGTCTGCGGAGGAGGAGGGGCCATGTGGGGCATAGGTTCCAGGGGAAGCTCAGGGTTCAGGAAATGTCCCGGCCTGAGGAAGGCATGGACCCGTGGAGCACAAGAAGGAGCTGGGGGAGGGGCCCTTCCGTTGGGCCACACACCTGGCTGACCCAGCTGAAGCTGAGGCTGCCCTTCAGGATGAAGTCAAGCTCCTCCTGGATGCCGAAGGAGGGGACGTCACAGCGGAACTTCAGGCAGTCAGCGATGGAGCAGTCCTAGGGACAGGAAGAGAGTGAAGTTGGTTTGAGAAGGGTCTTCACTTAGGAAGGAACTGTAAGAGAGAATGGAGGTTGTCAGATTTATAGGAGGGGCTGGGGGGATAGAGGAATGCTGCATAACTTTGTAGTATAGCAATACATTATCCTGTATCCCCCAATATGGGATAGTCCTACTTTAGGGGTTCAGGGCCTGTCTCACCAGCACAGAGCTCCTTGGAATCTGGGCCAGGAAGTCAGAACGCTGGGGCGGTTCCCTTTCTGACACGCAGGAGAGACTCTAGTGAGAGAGAGAGAAATACTTAGCCCCATAAAGACCACATCTCCCTGAAAAAGGGTGTGTGTGTGTGTGTGTGTGATACTGTGGGATCAGATCCCGGGACGGAGGAAGGACAGGCAGGCACCTGTGAAGGGACCCTCAGAGTCACATCCCACACAGGCGCGCCGTTCAGCAAGATGGGGACCCAGAAACTGATACAGACGGCTAGATCTCGCTGACTCAGGTTGTTCACCTGCAGAAAATGGAAACCAAACGTTATTGTAGCCCCAGTCCCACTTCTTTCTTACCCATAGCTTTCAGGTCTTCTCCACCAATTTCCAACACTATCCACACCACAGAAGAACAAACATGAGCACTCCCTAGCTTCTCACACGATATCGGTGTTCAGCCTCTTTCTTGCTCCTCTCATCGGAAGTGGAAAAATTGAAGTACTTAGTGGATTCTTCCTGTCTGGAAAGAGAGAGCCTGTTGGTGCAGAACAACCTTGAGACTATCCCTAGTGGGGCCCTCGGCTGCTGCAGAGAGCTTCGCTGGGTCCAGCAGATGATCCACGAAATAACTTCGGTCCCCACACACCCCTGAAATCTCTGCATTAGCTTTGGTTCCGCTCCCTGCAGCATCCTTTGGCTCAGTCAGCCAGAACTGCCAGTTAATCCCCCTTAACTCCTGGTTCTTTCATACACAAGTGACTTTGCTCAAGCTGCTTCTCCTGCTTGCCTTGTTCTTACCTATTCCCCTTCTGGAAATTTTTACTTAACGGTCCAGCTTAAACATCACCATTTCTCACAACGCTTACACATTATGGGGAAAAGGTATTGACATTGCTTTCTCTAGTACATACATGGCTGGACCAACGTAATGCTTGCAGAGGCTGCTGCCAGATCAGGTAAGCCTAGGAGAACCCTAGGGAGTGACAGCCAACTTACTCAGGAAACAAGGGAGTAAGAATTCCTCTGTAAAGGCAATGAAGAAAATAGATGTGGTCATCTTGGGGCAGGTAAGTGAATGTGAAGGAAGATAGTGCATGAACTCCAGCCCACAGAGGGGACATAAGTATTTCAGGCTGCAGGAGGCTTTATAGCCATCCACCCATCCATCCATTCACCCACATATCTACTCATCCACCCATCATCCATCCATCCAGCAACCCATCCACCCATCCCTCCACCCACCCATCCATCCATCTGCCCATTGACCCATCCATCCACCCACCTATTCACCCACCCATCCATCCATCTACCATGCACCCATCCATCCATTCATCTATCCATCCACTCACCCATCCATTCATCCATCTATCCACCTATCCATCCATCCACCCATCCATCCACCCATCTATCTGCCCATCCACCCATCCATCCATCCACCCACATATCTACTCATCCACCCATCATCCATCCATCCATCAACCCATCTACCCATCCACCCATCTATCCATACACCCATCCATCCATCCATCTACCCATCCACCCATCCATCCATCCATCCATCCACTCATCTACCCATCCACCCATCCATCCATCCATCCACCCATCCACTCATCATCCATACATCCATTCACCCACCCATCTACCTGTCCACCCATCATCCATCCACCCATCCATCCATCCATCCACCCACCATCCATCCATCTATCCATCCACCCAGCCACGCATCCATGGCTTCTTTCAGTAAATATTTGCCATATACCAGGCCTTGGAGATTCAATAGTTAAGCCACAATCCCTGCTTCTCAAATCTTAATGTCTAAGGTCTCCATAGAATCAATCAGACCAGGAGGACCTGCACTTTTCACCAGTACCCAGCACAGAGAACCCAGACTTGCCACACTGGCTCTGGGGGGTCACAACAGAGGAACCCTGTCCCTCAGAGGGTCTCTGCAGGGCACATCCATTGTGACTTACTTGGCAAATGACCGGAGCAAGTTATATAAGCTCTTGATTTTTTTGTTGATAAAAATGAAGATAACAATACAGTTATTGGGAGAATTAAATAAATGTAAATGCATGTAAAATACTTAACGCAGAAACCCACAATAACAAAAAAAAAATGTGTGACATCTAAGTACACACAACTGTAAGTTCTTATTGTAAGTATTTTCCTGTGGATAGGAGGAGAAATGCACACATTGTCCATGGGTCATATCATTGTCCTAATGGACAGTGGCACTGTTTGATTTCCTGTCCCTGGCTCCCCCATAAATTCAGCAGCAACAGCAGCAATCTACCCCTCAGTGTAAGTACCGTCCCTCGGTGTTGGCACAAGGGTCTGAGCAGCTCTCCAAGCCTCTGCAGAGGAGCCCAGTGTGTGGAAGCCCTCACTTTCAGCCTGGTTGCACCTGCTACTCTACCACTTTCGGAGCCCCCTGCTGCCGCTCATACTCGCCTCCCGTGTGGTCTGCCTCACCCTCGGGCTTTTAGAGACCTTACCAACAGCTTCTCACACATCTGCTCTCCTCTGAGTGTTTTAGAAACCTGACCTTTACCTCGGAGTTTTGTAGAAACCTGACCTTCCCCTTCCTGTGTGTGGTGGCTGACCATGTCCTGTTGAGCACAGCCCTCCCAATTCAGAGTGCTCAGAAAAGCCTTGACCTCAGCCTAGCAGCTTCCCTCAGCACAGTCATGCCTAGCACATTCATACAGGGAAGAACTGGCATAATGTTAAAGGCAGCCTGACTTCTGGAGGAAGAGGGCAAGGTGTGTATGAACGGCAGACCTGTTCGGAGAAGCAGAATTACATGGGCCTTTGTATTATGGTACGCATATATGGCTGGCCACCCAGACAACATTCTCATGGGAGGAGTCAAAGGGGATAGCTTAGTTGCTCTACAGTTTAAATACAGTTTTAGTTTGTCCCCCTCATGTCTTGGGAACTTGGCCCTCAGTATGACAATGTTGGGCGATGGTGGGATTTTCAGAGGTGGGACCCAGTGAGTGATTTCTAGACTGGCCCCACTCCCCAGCTCCGCTTTCATGTCTCGCCATGGACTCGCACGCTCTGCTACACATTCCTACCATTGTGGCGCCACCTGCCATAAGCTGATGTAGACCAGGGGCTCTCGTCAGACCTGGCACTATACTCTGGGACTGTTAGCCTCCAAAGCTGTGAGCTAAGTAAACCTCTTTTCTTTGTAAGTACCTTGCCTCAGGCAGTCAATTACAGTAAAACAGACTAACACAGATGCCTGTCATCAAAAGAGCAAGCTAAGCTGCAGCAGGAAGTACATGACCCAGGCACCTGCTGATCACTGTGTACACTGTGTATTTCACTGGGAGCTCCAGCTGGAAGGTAGTCTTGCCGGTTGCAGGCTTGTTGTTCTCACTGGAGAAAGAAAGGGGAACACAGTTTAGGAGGGATTTAGGAGAGGAGTCTTCAGCTGGGGCATGACCCTGGAGGATGAGTGACACACCTTAGCCAGCCTGGGCTCACCTGCTTGCATTGGCTTGCACAAGCAACCTGGTTCCCAGGGTAGCCTTGTAGGAGACATCAAACGTGATTGTGAAGGTACTCTAAAGGAAGAAGGAAGTTGGGGCGGAAAAGGAATAGATCAAATAGGGAAGGTCGTGGGGGGGGGAGTGAGGGAACGGAGCAGGACCAAGGGGAACAAAGGGGAAGAGTGTAGAGAAGCACAGACCTTAGTGCCCTCCGGGAAGATGGGATGGTTGATACTGCAGCTGCTGCTCCTCAAACCCTCATTCTCAGCAGGCTCCGCCTCACATGCTACGCGCAGTGAACGCTGACGTGGCCGTTTCTGGGGAGAGAGAATGAATTTTAAAAAGTTACCCACATGCATATATTGGCTTGAGATATAACAGTGAAGGTATTGCTGAACAGTAGGGGAAAGGACAGACTTTTCAGTAAATGGTGCTGGGAAATTTGGCCCATAAAGTATGCAGTGGTGCAGGGGTGGGGGTGGGTTGATCCCTACCTCACTACATACATTAAGATAAATTCCAACTGGATTAAAGACTTAAATGTGAAAAAACAAAAATTAGAAAGTGTTCAGAAGATAATATAGACAACTATTTTATAACCTTAGGATAAGGAAGTAGTTCTTAAACAAGATACACAAGAAAACACTAAGTACAAAAGAAAAGATGGTGAAATCAACCACAATAAAAAATATTTTCTGCATATTGAAAAGCAGTATAAAGAACCTGAAAAGTTAAGCAAGGTGAGAGACATTTGAACACATATAACTGGAGCATGAGTAACCAGAATATATAAAGAATTCTTAGAAATCAATAAGAAAAAAAATGTAGCTAACTCAAGTGAACAGGAGGAAAAAGATGTGGATGGGCACAAAAAAGAAAAAAACCAAATATCTAGGGAGTAAGTTGCTCAACCTTAGTCATTAGAGTAATACAATTGAAGCTGTAAGGAAATACTGTCACCCATTAGACTGACAAAAACTAAAAAAATCTGACAAGAGAACGTCATAGTTTCTCTTATATGAGAAACTCAAAATATAAATAAAACATAGATAATAGGAAGTAGAAAGATCTTTCTCAAGTGGCAGGAGGATCATGCTATGGAGGAAGGGGGAAGGAAGAGGAGGGGAAAGGGATTAAAGAATAATTAAGATGTGTTATGCACATGTACCAACTCCCCACAAGGAATGTAAGCATATGTACTGCAAACATGTACTAGTAAAAAAATGTTAAAATCTGACAGTGCCAAAAGTCAAAGCAGATAGCCACAGGAACACTCATACATTGTAAATAGGTAAAAAATACTTTTTAAAAATAGTCTGATTTTATTTGTTAAAATTTAAGATATAGAGGTTGGGTGTGGTGGCATGCATCTGTAATCCCAGCACTTGGGAGGCTGAGGCAGGAGGATCGTTGCAAATTCTAAACCAGCCTGGGCTACAAAGTGAGCTCAAGGCCAGCCTGAACTGCATAGGAGATCCCGTCTCAAAAAAGACAAAAAAAAAGTTGAAGATATACATACCCAGTGACTCAGCCATTCCATGTATAATATATACCTTCCAAAATAGTATACTTAGGTGCATCAGAATACATGCTCCAGAACAACCATGGCCAAAATCAGAAAATAACTCAAATAGCTGTCAATTTTGGCATACATAAATAAATTATGCAACACTTATACAAAGAGATTCAATATAACAGTGAAAACATTCTACAGCCACACACAACAACATGGATATATCCCACCAATATAACATTAAAGGAAAGAAGCAAGTTACACAAATAAACACACAACATGCTTCCATTCATGTAAAGCAGAAATACCAGTAAAACTGGACAGCATGATCTAGGGATGGATGGTAAAACCATGAAGAAATACAAGGAGATGACTGTTGCAAAGTTGGAGTAGTGAGTACCTCCGGGAGAAGGGTCAGATTGTGATAGGGAAAGATACATGGTGAGGGAGCTTTGAGGATGCTAGCAGTTGTAACTTGACCCCGATGTGACTGTAAGAATATTTACTTAATATTACTCATTAAACTGTACACAGATTTAATGTGCTCTGTGTGTGTATGAGATCATAAAGAAAAGACTAAAAAAGAGCTTACTAGAACCCTAGAGGTTGTAGAATGGGAGAGGCCTGCATTGGTCTAGACACAGTTGGAGTGTGCAGCAAGACTTCATGCGTTGAAATTTAATCCCTGTTGGGAGATTCGGTCCGCACTGTGACAGGGAAGAAACTTAATCTCAGTGCAGTGCTGAGAAGTGGGGCCTTTGGAAAGTATGTAGGATTAGATAAGGTAATCGCCTCACAACTGAATTCTAGTACCTTTATAGGAAGTGGGAGAGAGGCTAGACCAACACACACAGGATGCCAGGCACCACACAGGGACTCTGCCTGCATGAACGCTACCACGAGATGTGGCCCCTTGCACCTCCAGAATAGCGAGCCAAAATAAATCTTCTTTCTTTATAACTCAACCAGTCTGTGGCAGTTTGTTACTCACAACAGAAAACTGACTAATACAAGACTGCAGCCAACCAGAGCCCAGGAAACTATTCACCTGTATTCGTGATACCCGTCGGTAGGACAGCCCTGCTGGGTAGTAGAAGTTGACCACAGTTCCGTAGGAGTCTTCGCCCTCATTCCACACAGTCACTGTCACGTTGAGCTCTAAGGTACTCCCCACCATCAGGGTATGCAGGCTGAAGGGAGGAGGACAGAGCTGGGACTCTGGCTCCACTGGGATTAGTTGGGAATGGATCAGGAGCAGGAGAAAGCTTATGGAAACTCACAGGTCAGTATTCCAGTCAAGATTATTTTTGTTTGAAAAAGTGAGCTAAGGAGAAGCCCATGGACTTCTCATCTTATGAGGACAGGAGACACAGAAGCTTGCCAGTCTGGATGGGAAAGGAAACAGAGCTCACCCTGAGAAGTTGAAGCTGACACTCAGGTCCCCCTCACAGAGGTGGTCTTGTCTACAGTTCTTCTCAAACGGGAGCTGCAGAAAAACAGTCAGTGCTCTTCTCACCCCAACTGTAATCTTCCTCTCACCCTCTCATTTGAAGAGCTCTACTAGACACTGGCAAGGAGTCAGGTAGGTTTTAGAGAGTAGAATGTAAACAAAGATAAGATCCTTTGCTTCCAGAAGAAAAAGTTTGGTTGCATCAGATCCAATTAATACTGGAACAATTATTTAAAAACATTACCAAGCGTCAGTAACTGGGCAGGTTTTGGGTTAGGTGGCAGTTTGGGAAAAGTGGAAACTGCGGGTGAGTTGGAGATGGTTTTTACACTCGAGGAACCCACAACTCCCAACACACCACAGATTGTTGTGATATTTGGGGTGTTACGATCGTGATGTAAATGGGAGCCGGAGAAGTGGGAGCTGTTATGTGTAGTTCTCAAATAGAGGAAGATGAGGCTGGCAACTGGGGGGCTAGAAAAGATTCTTTAGGTGGAAAGGATGAAATGTTTTGCAGATGAGAAATCAGAAGTAAGCATGAGAAACGCCGGGAACGATCTGCAGAACATGGGCTAGGAAGCTTACGTCAGGGTAACGCGGGTAACCTGCTGGGATATGTGCGGAGTCGAGCTAGGCAGGCAGGACCTTCACAGCTGGGTGGAGGCATTTTGAGGTTGGTGTGGTTGGTGGGTTCAGTGAAAGCCCTCACACCCCTGAGACTTCATCAGAACACTCACGGAAGCGGTGAAGACGTCTTGTGAGCCCATAGCCAGCACGGGGTGAAGGTTCCAGGTTAAAATGGGGTCTCCCGCCAAGGAGAAGTTGAGGCGCAGGATGACGGGGTTCACCACATCCTCTACGCAGTCCTAGGGAGAGTGGACGTCAGAACCCGCTACTGTTCTCCTCAATTTTCACCACACAGGCTTTCCCTCTGCTGCATCCAGTCAGGAGCCATCCGAACTGTGGAGCCCGGCCCTCCCACCTCAACCTTCCCCTCTCATGCCCCGGAATCCCCGCCCTTCCCTCCTTGCAGAGCAAACAGATGGGACCCTCCAAGCTAACCTTGGGCTTCTCCTCCCTTCCCCCTTTCCAAAACCCCAAGTCCTCACTGGCAAAAGCAGCTTCACAGCTTCACAATGATCCCCAAGCCCCAGGGTTTTCCTTCGAGTCAAAGTTGAGATCTTGGTCTCATAAAAAACAGCGCGAGAAATCCGACGGCCAGGGTCCAGCATCAGATCATAACTCACAGAACTCTGGAAGTCCCCTGAAGTGGAAGTGGGGAGCAGAAAAGGGACAGGCAGTTGGAGCCTGCAATGTTTTGTGTCCGCACTGTAAATATTTGCTGAGCACTTGCTGTGGGCCGTGACATGTACCGAGTGCTGGGGACATACATAAAGAAGATAGATACATGTGGCCCCAGCTCTTGCGAAGGTGACAGTCTAGGAAAGGAGCCAAGCGCTTGGCCATGACATCACAGAGCAAGCAGCACAAGGGTGGATTCTTCTATTGAAACTAAAGAGCATGCATTAAAGAGAATGTACTAGCTCAGACTTAGCCAAGGAAGCTGTCCTAACGGGCCAAGTGTGAGCTCTGACCTGGAGGAGGAAGAGGACTTGGGCACAGCAAGGGGGAACACGCCAGACAGTGTGAACAGGGCTAGGACCTCCAGGGAGAGAAAGACTGCCACATTCACAAAGTGGACAGAGGAGGGAGGAATGGAATGAGGTGAGAATGAAGGACCGAATCAGAGAAAGCATTGCAGGGAAGGTTTCGTGTCTCTATAAATGGGAAGGGGAGCAGCACGGGGATCCTTAGGGGTGGGGATGAGGAGCCAAGAGCTGCACTTTAGGATCAATCAAGTCCAGTTCCTTTACAGAGAACGGGTGGGAAGATGTAAGAATAGATGTGAGAACTTCTCTAAGTGAAGTGGCGGCTCAGAGGAAGACAGTGGCAGGGCCAGGAGAGAGAAGCGGAAGGCACAAGATACACCCTGGAGACAATGTGCGGGCCTGACAAGGGGAGAGAAAGGGCCCGGGTTTCTGATACAGACAGTTGAGGGAATGTGGAGGTAAGACGTGGATTCCCAGGTCAATTGCACCCTGAAGACAGCCTTGGGAGCCTCTACCGGGTGAGAGATTGGGTCAGCCTTTAGACACGAGACTCACCGAACTGGCCAAGGGAGTCTTTATGAAGAGTGAGACAGACGGTGGCCTCCACGGCTTCTGGAGCGGTGGGCATCTCTTCCCAGCACTGGTACATGGCTTTTGGCACCTCCGCGGGGGTGAATCTCATGGATACTCCCACTTTCAGCACGGGCAGACTCCTGAGAGGCATGAGCAGAGGCAGAGGATGGGACACTCACCCTGGGAGAAAAACAAGGCCGGGCAGCACTGGTGAATCTGTAACACAAGCAGGCAAGGATAGGATGTGCGGAATCTCTCACCTGAGCAGCAGCACCTGGCCCTGGGCCCCGACGGCCAGGTCCACTAGTCCATCCTGGGTGAGGTCCTGACCCCCGCTCAGTGACTGCCCAAAATACTGGAGCCTCGAGGAGAGCTGAGAACCAGTGATCCGCTGGCCAGGGGAGGACAGAAAAGTGGAAGTCAAGAGGAGCTGACTGCAAGCAGTGAAGGAGATCTGAACAGAGAAATGCAAAAGGAGAGAAGAAAAGGCAGGGGTTGAAAGCAAGTAGCCCAGGGACCTCAGGAACCCCAGGACAGAGAGAAAGAAGCTCTTTAATTCTTCATCAGGAAATAAGAGCATAATGATAGTGCAACAGCAAACAGAAACACGGAAACGACATGGAGGATTTGGAGGCAGATTTATTTACATTGATGGACACTGATCGGGGTCATTCCCAGAATATCAGGCCCCAATCTCTGGTGGTCTAGGGCTTTTATATGGTACAAAGGTGAGACAGGACAGCCTGGCAGTTCTTCTAGTTAGCTAGCAGGATGAGATCATCAGTTACAAGGGTAGATCAATTATCATCAGCTTATGAAGCTTGGTACAATGGTACAATCAGGCATCCTGTATGTTTGGTTATGCTCTTAAGGTTACAGGAGTCAAGACATTACAAAGCCATGAAGTGGTTACAGAGCTAGGTAGTTGCAAAAGAACAAAGTTTTAAAAACAATAATTTCTCTTGTACAGTTTTTCCCTTTCAACAGGAATATAAGAGATTCATTCTTATATAATCTTATAGATATAAGATTATATAGTCTTATATAATTCTTATAAATCTTTTTTAAAACATTCTTAAATCTTTGATGAACAGAATGGAAGAAGCCTATGGGGTTGGTGTCTGGCTTTGTTTTTGGAGTTGCTTTGATCATTCCCACGTATCACAGAAATAAACTAAAACTCACAGAGGCCAAGTCAGCAACCTGCCTAAGGCTACACTGCTAATGACAGCCAGTAAGACCCAGGATCTGAGCTGGGTTCTGTTCTCAAAGCCTGATCTCTTATCCATCAAGCTGCCCAGTAGAGTGAAGACTGTTTGGAAGCAAAGAAAAGAGATGATTGGTGCTTAACTGACTCTGGTGAAATTCAAGGTAAGAAACTACGAAAAGAAGGAAGGCAACAGAAATTTCTAAGGCAGGGACAAGAAGCTGCATTCAGGGAACCCAAGACAGAGGAGAAGGAACTAAACAAGGCTGAACACAGGGGCCTCACCTGGCTGTGGGACCGGCTGACGCCCCCTCTTGAGACTCCGTGAAACACGTAGACAGCGCCCCGGTTCTCCTGCTCCCCAGGGGCCCCGATGGCCACGTCCGCCAGCTGGTCCCCGTTCACATCCCCCAGCGCTGTCATCGCCGCCCCAAAGCGGCCCCAGGGATGGCCCGGCTCGCCTTGCAGGACAGCGTCACACCGCCACCGAGCCCTCTGCTGAACAAAGCCAGGGTCGGGCCCCACAGCAGGCAAACCTGCCGCCCGCACCCAGAACCCCAGCCCAGGCCCCACAGCCACTCACCCCCTTGGGCAGGGGACACACGGACACCCGGCCCCCTCGGGTCGGCTCGTAGTAATGGGGGGCCCCGATGAGGACCAGGTCGGTGCTGCCGTCTCCGTCCACATCCACAGAGCACAGGGAGGCCCCGAAGTAGGAGCCGATCTGAGGGCACAGCCAGAGGTCACCCTGCCCGCCCTGCCAGGGGCACCGCCCCGCTATCACCTCTCCCCGGCGCCAGAACCTGCCCCGTGGCCCCAACGCCCCTCGCCTTTCCCTCTCTGCCCCTGGCCGCCCTCACGGTCCGCTCGGGCTCTCTCCACACCCACCTGCGTCCCTGCGACCTCGGCGTGTGGTGTCCACTGCCCGGACGCCCGGATGAAGATGAGAACCTTCCCGGTGTGCTGGTGGCGAGGGGCCCCCAGGACCAGGCTCTGCACCCCCTTCCACAGGGCCAGCTCAGCGGCGTAACCTGGGGGCGGGGGTGCGGGCTTCAGCGCCCAGGCTTCCTTCCCTCGAAGCAGTGCTTCCCTCGCCTGCCCCCCAGCCCACCTCCTCTCACCCAGGTAAGAGTCCCTCATGTCCACGCGCTCCTGAGACATGTTGATGAAGGTGGGGCTCCCATTAGGGGGATACAGAAAGGCACCTCCAGACCAGCCGAAGCTTCCCACAGCCCCCAGAACTGGTCCATCCTGAGAGGAAACGATTTCAAGGCTGAGCAGGCCGGAGCAAGACGACAGCCTAACCCAAAGAAACACCCGCCCCGACTCCTCTTGTCATTTTGACTTTTCTTCTTCCCCCAGCTCCTCTCCAGCAGCCTCTGTGCCCAGTTTCCAGTGCCCCAGTCCGTGCCACTGCCACTGTCCCTGTCTGCCCCAGCGCCTCCCACCGCCTTTCCACCTTGCTTGCTCCTGTCCTCTCTGCCTGCTCCCCTCCCAGCATCTGTCTCCCCCAAATCCCTCGGCATGCTGGAAACCATCACCACGTGCCCAGGATGGCACAGGGGCCCTCCCAACCCAACCTGTCCCGGAACACACCATGCCCCTTCTGACCCACCTCCCCCCCCCCCGCTTAGCACCTCTCTCCAGAAGAATCAACCTTAAAATCCCAGAGGTCTTCCTGGGCACCCTCAGAAACAAAACCTATTTTTTCCTCTGCATACTTTGCTGCCTTTTGAACATTCCATTATGGACAATTTAGAACATATCCAAAAGTAGAAAGAAATGCCTAGCTTTAGCGATCAGTTCCATGTCTTTCATTCGTACCACTCCCCACTCAGCCGAGTCATTTTGAAATAAATTCTTCTGGATACTTTCAGAAAGTAGACATCCGTCTACTTTCAGATAAGCCTTGCCGCATTGTCACTCTCCGGTCATACGAGCTGGTCCTTCCCACCTCTCCAACACCCTCCTTCCTTTCCACCCCCGGCCCACTCTGCTGTGTGCGATTCTTGCAAAGGCTCACATGGGGCTGTGGTCAGGGATCTGAGCCCAGAACACAGAGCTTTGCTCAGACGGTGGCGTCCAGGAAGCACCAGACATCTCTATATGTCGGCCCTTCTGTCTCTCTAGGAGAGGAATTTTGTTTCTGCCTCCTGAGGCTTTGCACTTGCTTTTCCATCTAGAGCTATCTTTCCCCAGACTTTTCCAGAGTTGGCCCTTTCTCAAAGTTCTTTTTATTTTTTCCGACCATCTTTGTTTCTCTGCCCCAACACTTAATACAGCCAGAAGTGTTCTTTTGTGACCTCCACTATGCATTCCACAAGAGCTGCAACTGCAGCCACCCTCTCCTCCTCCGCTGGGCTCGCCAACACCATGGCGCTGCCTGGTGCCTCGCCTCATTCAGACAGTGAACCTGGGACAGAAGCTGCATCTTGCTTACTTCCGGATCCCAGCTGGCAGCCCCGAACTGGCCTCGAATCGATACCTGAGACCTGTTTATCCACCCACCATTGTGAGCGCCGCACTGAAGCCTTCCTGCGACATCTCATGCTGAAAGGAGCTACTTGTCTTTGATTGGGTTCCTGTGGGGAAACAGGGCACTTAGGTCCTCCAAAGCTGCGAGGCCCCAACGACTCAGAAAGGAGGGAGGAGAAGGGGGGCAGGGGGCTCAGGTTCTCGGGAGCAGTTCAGGGTGCATTGGGACGGGCCATCAGGGGCTCCTTGAACTCCAAGGCCCAGGCTTGCTCCCACTTACCTTCGACTGCAAAGATCTTCTCCTGTAGCTTTTTCTGGATGCTGCCAAGGGCTGCAAAGTTGTCCACCTTGAACACGTGGTCCTGCGAGGGCACTGAGCTGATGGTGTTCAGCTCCCGCCTGGCCGCAGGCTCCTGGAAAGCATCTCCCACCTACAGCAGAAAGGCAGCTGGGAGAGGGAAGCCCAGCCGGCCTTGGCCTGGCTGAAGCGCAGGCCGAGTCTGGGGGACCAAAGAAAACAAGATCGTACCCCGATGGCGTAGCGGATAACCCCAGCTTTCTCTGCGCGGGGGATGACGTCACTGTAGTCCATGGGGTCTCTGTATTTCTGCCCATCTGTGATGACAATGAGTATTTTCTTGGCACTTTTGCGGGCCCCGTTATTGCTGTGAAATAGCTCGTTCCTGTCGAGGATAGAGGGAAATAACTCTACTGAGTTCTGATTGATATTCTGGAGGACGTCTGTCATTTGCTGCCCTAGCGGCTCATCTGGCCGCTGGGGAAGTCTCGATTCCAGGACACGCTGGATTCTATCAGGCACATTAATAAAACCATTCAGTTTTTTTTGAAACCCATACTGGCAATAATTAGTAAGACCAATAACAAAGGCACTCATTATTTTTCCCGACTATTCTGCCCACTACTGTCATTTCTAGGAGGTTCAAAGCAGAAGCTCTGGGGTTAGACAGACTTGTAGTAAGTTCCCTAACCTCTCTGAGCCTTTGATTCTTTCTGTGCAAGACTGCACCATAACTAATCTCTCAAAACTGGCCCCCAGTGAACCTCAGCTGGTTGTCCTCCCACAGGAAACCTGGCCTGGCCTGTGACTCCCTTTTATAAGCAGCATGCAGTAGAAGAGACATCATGCCAGTTGTGAGCCTGAAAAGCCTCAGTAGCCTTTGCTTTTGTACTTTTGGAAGTCCTGAGCACAGTGAGAGGAGTCTGGCTACCTTGTTGGAGTTACCCACGGAGCAGCTACGAGGAAAGATGTGGAGAGATGGGCCCAGACCTGGGTGTCCAGCCTGTCCTTCCTGGCCACCGGACATCCGAGCAAAGCTCTCAGGATTCTGGCCTCAGATCTCTGAGCTCAATCCCATGAGAGACTGTGCAAGAATAGCAGAACCCCTCACCCTGGGACTGCGAAAAATAAGAAGAGCTGCTGCTTAAATTACTTAGGCCACTTAATTTGGTAGCAGATTGTTAAGCAACCACAGGTAACTGGAACAAATGGTCTCAGGTTATTTGAGGATTAACTTGCAACAGTGATCAGCCCACAGGTGAGCATTAATTAGACGAGAGCTGAAACAGTTAACATGGAACTATATGCGCTCACATAGCTCTGTAGACTCATAACACACATATACACACATGTGCTAAACAACACACTCCTGCCAAATGCTGAAAACAACCATTAGGGAAGGGATTAGCAAACCGTGACCTGGATCCTTTACTGAAGAGCACAGAACCAATGAAAACCGTGGCAAAATATGGAACCAGTTATATGACTAGAGTTTTTGAAAATAGTTTCTGAGCCGACTGGGACCATACAGAATAAGTGAAAAGCAAGGACAGAAACTGTGCTGTGTCAGGCAGTGGATTTTATTGATTCATTTCGTATCCCTTCTTGTTGCTAAAATACTGTAAGGTGGTCAATTAGAGGGACTATAATACCTTTTTAAAAAAATTTCCTTAATCCTATCATAATTGTGTCTTTTTTGTAGTGAAGCTTCTTTAAAAAAATAAGCAAGAGGCAGGGAAACAAAATCTGTGGCTAAGTCTATTCTGAGATGGGCTTGGCTCTGGGGAGCAGGGAGGGTGACGGGAGACACAGTGCATTCTGGGATACGGAGTGGGTGCCCCTTATAAGGGTCAGAGATTGAGAGAACCACACTATTGCTCCTGCCTTACTTCCTTCTTTTTCCAGAACCCACCACTGGAAGAACTTTACAGCGTAAGGAAAGGGGGATGCAGCTGTGCAACTCTGAACTCCCAGGACAGAGGTTTGCCTTTTGGCTGTCCAGTTCCAAGAGGCTAGTGTCTGAAGCAGAAGGGCCACCCCAAAGTAAAGGGGGTACATTGCCTCAGAGCATCTTTTATTTGGGATGATCCCCCCATATGTTAGTCCCAGTTCCCAGGGGAGTGCAGGAAGCCAAGGATCCCAGATACAGCCCAGGTCCACATCTTCTTTCTTCTAACCCCATGGCTGAAGCCACCTTCTGCACGGGTTTCCTGGTTCCAGCATTGCAGAGGTACAGAGCAAGCACCCAGCCAACAAAGAAGGAATGCGTACAAGGAAGGACAGGATGGAGGCTGGTGCGCGGGAAGAGATGCAGAGAAGACACTTGGTAGTAGTTCCCGAGTCCCTGCCTAGGAAGCAGAGGGGCTGTGCCGTTCTGTGGGTCAAAACCTCAGTCATCTATCTGGCACCTCCTGTATGTCCAGGACAGAGCACCTCATATACAGAATCTCATTTAATTCTTACAAGCAAGTTGTGGGCTTATCCTCCTCTGAAAGTTTACTGAGAGTTGGGTAAAATCAGTAACTTCCAGGATTCCTCAAGTAACCAGCAGGGAACGAGGATGGAAACTGAGATGCATCTGAATCAAACAAAGCCTCCGCCACTGGCTGGCCCTGGTGGCTGCAAGGGTCCTGCCTTTCCAGATCCAAGCAAAGGGGAAACACAGCCACAGAGGAGTCTGCTCCTGCACCAGGGGAGGCTGGCACTGAGGGGCCGGGAGCATTCCAGGGCCTCTCCCTGCAGCCTGCACACCCCGCTTCAGCCCCTTTCTGCAGAGCCCCCCACGTCCTCTCAGAAGAGCTGCACTGCCCCAGCATTAGGAAGTGTGTGGCAGCAGCCACCTCCAGGAAGGGGAGCTTACACCACTTTCAGGATGCCTGTGGCCGTGTAGGTCAGGCCTCTCAGCTGTACGATGGGCTTCACCAGGCTCTGAGTGCTTGGGCTGGTCTGGAACTCGGTGAAGGTGAAGTGGGTCTTCATGATGTTTGAGTACTGCATCAGGGAGAACTGCAAAGACCAAGGAGGAGGCCGCGGCACTCAGGATGTGTTATGGTGCTTGTATCTTTTAATGAACTTCTGATTTTGGAGAAAATATATATACGTACATCAGTGATTGAACTTAGGGCCTTGAACATGCCGGAGGAGTACTCTACCACAGAGCTACATCCCAACCCTTAAAATTATTTTAAAATCTTTTCAATGTTTCAAACAGAATGTGGCAGGTAGAGGGAAGAAGCTCCTAGGTCAGGGCTCAAACTGGCCCTGCCCTGGGAGCTTGACCAGGGACCCTCGCCCGGTCATGGCACAGCCCCCTTGAGCTCCCCTCCCCAGGCCTCAGTGTCCTGCATTCACCAGGGTGTTGGTGTCCTTGAACTGGTCCATCACAGCTTTGATAAAACTCTTCATCTGTTTAAAGTCACTTTGGCTAATGCTGCCAGAGCCATCGATCAGAAAGGCAATGTCCATCTCTTGATTTGGACACTCTGTCGGCAGGGAGAAATCAGACAGTCACGCGTGAGCCACTGGAGACGGCTGGACCCCTTCCTGCTCGACAGTCACAGGGCCAGGCTTGGCCTTCCCACCCCTGGAAGAGATCCCAATACCTTGCCTGCCCTCCCCTTCTGCCCTCGGCAGTCCCTGCTGCTCCCCTCCTCCCACACGGCCTGAGAAGAACGGAGGAAAAAGCCGAGGACAGGGCCAGGCGGGCTATGCAGTCATTCAGCGAACACATCCTTAGCAAACACGTATTCTGGAGATGCTACAGGGCACACAGGGAGGCAGTTTAGCAGAATGGCTCAGAGTACACATTCTGGAGCCAGTGTGCCTGGCCTGGAAGCCCAGATCGGCCACTTACTCCAGTTGGTGAATTCAAGCAAGTTGCTTAATTTCTCTGGGCTTCAATTTCCCGTCTGTAAAATGAAGATAGTAATAGTGCCTACCACACTGGATTATTGAAAGGATACAAGTAATTAATATGATGTAAGATGCTTAGGACAAGGTCCGGCCCTCCGTAAGTATTAGCTGTTATCACCAAATGCCTGGCGTGGCATTTCCGGACCTGTGGGATACACCTACAGTGAATGCCAACACGACACCCGTTTCAAGGCCGAGGCACTAATTCCCAACTATGTGGAGCTGGCTGCCAATGGCTTTCTGCTGACTCCCTTCCTGGGACTCACGCTAGGCAGAAGGGAGCTGCTCCGCTAGGGTTCCACCCTCCTATGCCCAGGGGCAACCCGTTGCCAAGCTCCCCGGGGTCTGCTAAGGCCTCTGCTAGAATTGCACCACTGTCCGTCTCGTCCTGGCCCAGACCTGCCCCCTCAAGTCCTCACTGGTATGGCTCCTGAGAACATGCCCAAGTGAACCTTAGCATCTGTTTCTGGGGAAATCTGACCTTAAGCCCATAGCTTTAAAAGAGTCACCATCTCTCCCCCCATGGAGTTCACACTCATGGGAAAGACACACCATAGCACAGAAAAGTGAACCTCTGCAGATGGCCCCACACTCATGTGGGGACTTCTGGCAGGTGTGCAAGGCCCAGCTGGTGCCTCCGCCAGCGCCCACATCCGGTGTTGCTCCGGTGCCGGGAGGTCAGGCCACCGCAGCGCTGAGGTGTGACCGTACCACGGAGCTGCGGTAACTCACCTCCAACCACTGGAGAAGAGAAAAGGCCTTTTCCTCTCCCCACCACAGAGAGTCACTTCCTTTCCTGCTTCCTCAATGACTAGAAAAATCCAGCCACCTGCATGGCAGGCGGAAAGCTCTGGGGTGCTTCCCCTGGCAGCTTTTGTGCCTGCTTTTTCAGCCATGTCCTGGAATCCCACCCTCCTCCTCCATTTCCCACAAGATCTCTCACAAGCTCCTCCTCACAGTGGCTCTAGCCACTGTGCTGACAGAGGTGCCCGGATGGAGCTGAGCACCTTTCTAAAAGGACTAAGGCAGTGGGAAGAGGCTGCCTCAAGCTCCTGGCTCTGCCTCTCAGTGACAACTCACGCCTCTGAATCACAATTTTCTCATCTGTTAAGTGGGCACAACCCTGCCCACCACCCAGAGGTCTTGTGAGGGTGCAGTAAAGTGATGGCCACCAGGCCCACAGCACTTCCTGGCACGGTGCTCAGTGGACCCGAGCTCTTCCCATTTCTACCAGCACCTGCCTTGCCTGCCCCAGGTTTATGCTCCTGTGTTCCTTCTTACCAGGCCTCCTGCCTCCCGAGTTCCAGAGATGTCTGTGAGAAGCCATTACCTCCTCAAGTTCAAATGCCTGGATTCACCTGGATTCACCTGGATTCTCAGGCAGGACCCTCCCAAGAGCCCTGGCCACCCCTAATCCATTCTCTGCTCCCTGTATAGATTCTGCTCTCACACCTTGGTCTGAGAGTGTTTCTGCTGCTGCTGCTCCAAATTTGGCTAAAAGTTGCCACACCTGGCTTCATGGGCCCCGGTGGCCCCAGCCAGCCCCTCTTAGGCCGGCTCATCTGCACTTCCGGTTAGTCCAAACACACGGCGGGAAAGGTAGTCAAATGAGCTGTGGCATATTATATGCCAAGCAGGAATCTGCGCACTTTATATACGTTAGATCCCTGAATCTTTATAACAGCCATGATGGTTAAGCCCCGTTTTCCTAATGAGGAAACTGAAGCCCAGAAAACGAAGCTGTTGCTCATGACATGAAAAGTCTCAGAGCTGGGCACCACCATGACAAAGACCGAGTCTCAGACAGGTGCCTCGGGCCCAAACTGACCCAGACAGAAAGGCGGGTCACACTTCCCACAGCGCTACCATTTGCTCCCCTTCGAGGAAGAAGGGTTAGGCTGGAAATCCTGCAGCCAGCAGTGATTTGAGAACCGCCTCCCTCCCCGCCGGATTTATCCTCCTTACTGCGTGTTTCCCCATCTCAGGCCTTTCTTCTGAAACTCAGGACGTGTCTGTGCACCTGTGGCAACTGCAGGACCCTTAGGCCATCTGTGGCCCACACAGCGCCCCTCTGTTCCCAGCAGGACTCCCCCCCACCCGCTGAGGCTCCTCCCCTCCAGCCAGGCCCAAGCTCCCGCCCCTCCCCTCCTCCTCTGGGGCTCGCCAGGCTCCACTTAGCTGCACTCAGACCTCCAGGACAGGGACCTGGGCACAGGGGGCTGAGAGCACTCACACCCTGCCCATTCTTCTGTGCCAGACCGCGATCCCCATAGGCTCTCTGTCTCCAAGGCACTCACCTGCCAGGGCCGCTGGCACTGTCCGGAGGGTCTGCAGGTGGGAGCCCAGCAGGAGGCAGGAGCCTTTTGCGTACGTGTTCTCCCCACAAGCTCTGTGCACAGTTGGGCCACAGGCCTGGGGGCAGAGACCGTGAGCAAGGAGCCCCAGAGCCCCTCCTTGCCTCCTCCTCCCTGCTGGGCTTCTCCAGCCCCCCAGTGCGTCCCGGGTAACTCACCAATAGCAAGGAGTTGTTAGTGGAGGCCGCCAGCGACAGGCCCAGGGACATGTTCACGGCTTCTGGGGGGACTGAGAGGGCAGACACCCTCGGTCACACTCAACAACGCACCCCCATGAGGGGAGAAGCCTTGGAGGGGGCACACTGGGGTCAAGTGAGGAGAGCTGAGGGCCCCAGGACCCGGGTGAACACTCACTGTGCAGGGAGATGGGCCGGCACGAGCCGGTTGCAGACGCGCAGCTGTACAACTGTCCCGTCTGGTTGATGTCCACGGCCTCTAGCGGCGCTCCCACCACAAGCCTGGAGGCACAGCCGCGGCACACAGTCAAACGGGGTGGGGGTAGGAACGGGGGCACTTCGGGGCAAGGAAATATCTTGTGATGACAGAGTGAAACTTGGTAGGGGAAGTTCTTGGCATCTGCTGCTGGAGAAGCTGTGCGTAAATCAGGGCCTGAGTTTAACCCACCTATCCCAAAGGACCACACTGGGGTTCGCGGGTATTTTCTCTTTGGTGTGCATACATATGAGGGTGTGTATTGGGGTATACATACGCTTTACATTTTTAAGCATTTACCTCCCAAAAAAACTATTTAAAAACAAAAGTGGCAGAAGAATCCCCAAATAAGTCTCCCCCTTACTGTAATTCTTTGTGAATTAGCACAAATCACTATTGATTGCTTTGTATTTATAGATAGATAGATAGATGATAGATAGATAGATAGGTGATAGATAGATAATATATGTATTATGGCCCTTGTATACATGATGGTCAATAAATGTGTTAATTTAAATTAAAGGTATCAGACATAAGAATAAATGGCATTTCCCAATCACAGGTAAGTGCGTTGTGTTCCTGAGGCACTTTTGGTGTGAGCTGCCCGAGAAAGAATCACCTCAAGTTAAACAGAACAATTCCTGAAACCATAAGCTTTTAAAACAAATAGTTGATTTTTAAATAATTGGACAAGTTTAAATGCAATGTGAGCAATTTGAATTGGATGAGCAGTATAAAGCAGCTGTATCCAAAACTGTGTTTATATTTACCATGCTATAAATACAAATCATTTATTTGTAAAACTCCCTGAGTTAAAAAAAAAAAAAAATCTTGTTTAATTTTGGAAGCATTTTATCACCACCAACAACCAGATGAGAACACACGACACTGCTGATGTGTGCTAAGCAGCTGAGCCAGGCCTACTGTAGTGGACACATAAAGGCTCCTTCCCAACAGCCAGCCACTCCTGTACAGGAAGCTGTCGTTATCTCTGGGCATTATGATCCACGGGGCACCTGACTTTGCTGATGAAAACCGAACAGATGACTAAGGAGGTAGCTGGCCGTGGCCCGCTGGTATCCTAGACAAGTCCAAGCTATTCGTCAGGATGCTTTTCCTTTACCAACTCACTCTACTCTAAATCTTTTCTGTATTTGGGTTACGCTTCAACAAAAACCAGGAAAAATAATAACAGCGGGGATCAGAATGTTACCGACTCTGAGTGTCTTTAATCGTGTTGTTGTGGCTGTTTGGATGTCCTGAACTGATGCAAAACCCTTACCTTAGTGTCATTCTGACTTCTGGGAAGAGCCAGAAGGATCACAGTGCCAGACTCCATGAACGAGGTGGATGAGGACAACCGTGATGTTTTTACCAGCTTGCCTTTCCAATGGAAGGCAGCGACATTCACTGTATTTTTGATCGTGTCTTGTAAAGACACTCGCAAAACAGGACTTCCAGAACAGCTTCAGAAAGTGGCAAGAATGCAAAGACAAGTGTGATCAAATGGAGGGAAAATATTTTGAGTGAGATCAATGGCAATGTGTCTTTTACTGTAGTAATTTTTTTTTTTTTTTTTTGGTTTTTTTCCAGTACTGGGAATCGAACTCATGACCTTGCGTTTGCCAGACAGGCACTGTGCAGCTGAGCTAAATCCCCAGCCCCTACTCTAGTAATTTTTAATATTTAAACACGCACCATTTTTGATCACCCTTTGTGTATTTTACTTTAATTAAATACTAGTAAACAGTAGCCATTAATGGTTTTCCATTCCTTTCTTTTTTAAAATAGAGCCCAATAGCAAATTGAAACAGTGGCTAGCTTTGGCTTTGTTTGGTTTCCAGTGGCCAGGGGGTGAGAAGGTACAGGAGCTGACCCACACCCTTGTCTAAGTGAAAGTTACCAAGGATACACATATAAGATTATTGCTGAGTTGAATCCCTCAGACACGCCCACTTCAGTCTGTATGTCATGTTGCAAAACAAAGAAAAACCAAAATCCCCACACCTGTGCTTGCTTCCATCCCCCAAGCCCACCAGCTGGCCAAGGAATGGAGAGGTGTGTGCATTTCCCACTCAGTGGCCTCTCTAACTCCTCATTGGCCAGGTGAATGCGTCTCCCTGGCTCAGTTGCTCAGTGGAGGCTGCTGGAATTCCACTCATGGGTTTGGTCCCTCCTTTCCTGGGTCTCTGTACTTTGGTTATACCTGCATTGAATTGTGAGTTAGACCCCTGGAGTCCTCATATCTGAGACAAGAAAAATGTGAGTGTCTCTCTCTCTCCCTCCCTCCATCCTGATGTTTTTTGCTAGCTGGTGTACTGTTCCAAAACACTCACAGTGTGAAAGCCCTTGACCCTGGCTTTGCCCAGTTCATACCAGGTGTTATGGTTTGTGTCTAGATGTCCCCCCAAAGCCTCATGCAGTCATAGATGGGGCTGTTTCACAGGTAGCTGAATCTAGAGTGTGTGATGCCTGGATTAAGGATGTGTGATTACTAACTCAGTCCACAGATTGATTTAACACCACCCTAATCCCAGTAGCCTAGATAGAGTATAAAAGGGGCAGAAGAGGGCTGCCAAGGCCCCCTTGTTGCTTCTGCCCACCCTGAACTGTTTCTCCTCTGCAATGCTTGTCTGCCGTGCCACCCTGCCTTGGAGCCAGCCAACTGTGGACTGAAACCTCTACAAACCGTGAATCAAATAAACCTTTCTTCCTGTAACTTTGGATGTTGGGTATTTTGCCTCAGCAATGAGAAGAGTAACCAAGACCCCAGGGGACAAGGACAGAAGCAGTCACTGGGAGCTGAAATTCCTCCCCCGGGAGGTGATGGGAGACAGGCGGCTTGTGAACCAAGGCCCCATCCCCCGGCGCATCACTCTGTTATCATCGATCTTTACTTGCAAAGTACAAATGCAAAGATAAAATCATTGAGAATGTCAAGAGCCCAAGTGCAGAACATGAAAGTTCAAGCTTAACAAATGTGGGTGCAAATACACTGCTCACTTGAGAAGCTCCACCTGCAGGGCGGAGTAAGGCCTCTCTTTCAAGGCAGGGTGTGGACAGAGTTTCGTGGCCCTTCCGGGGATCAGGAACAGGAGATGGTGGTATCAGGGCCTCGGAAGAGACACGGGAAGAGATCTCACCCAGGCTACCCTTCTAGGACACCTCCCTGAGTACCGCCAACAGCTCCCTGCCTCCAGGACCAGAGTACAGCCGGAGGAAGTATGGAGGAGCCTACCGAGATCCGCCAAACTGAACCACGGTCTGCCCAAAGCCGGCTGCATCTTCTCGGAAGATTATAGGGTTCTCCACATCCAGGTTGAATCCATGATAAGAAGCCATTGCTGAGAAACATGGAGAGAGGGGGAGGTAATCAGAGAAGCCCACCTCCGCTGGCCCCCACTGTCCTGATACCCCACCTCACTCTAGCCGTGGTTCCCACCTGCCCGGGAGGACCAAGCCCTCTCTCGCTGCCATGCTTGCTGATCTGCCATCTGTGTGCTTCTCCTCTCTCTCCCTTCTCCCCCTGACCAAATACTCCAACCCCAGTACAGAGGGCAGCAACCCAGGAAAATGGCTCATCAGAGGGATTTCAAACGCTACCCAGGATCTGAATGAGGCCAGCTGCCCCGTGGTATGTCAGATCAGGAATGTCCTTAAAGATAAAATGAATGTCAGATTAATTGTTTAACCTCGGATCTGCTGAGAATAAAAAAGGGAATCATTAAAATTAGACTGGGTACTGCCCCAGGCACATGGGCACCCTACAGAAAGACCATCCTGCTCTACCTTCTCATGACACCGAGACCCCAAGGTCCAAACTGAGGAGCAGACACGACAGTCTGTGATGAGCTATGTGTACTTGTATGTTTTGCATGTCTCTTCTCTTGGTGCAGGTTCTAAGAAGGAAGGTCCTAGTCCTGTTGTTCAGGGTCTGGAACAGTGGCTGGCCTCAGAGGCTATCTAATTACTACTTGTTGGCTGACCACCATGCAGCACGTCAGGACCCGGTACTGTCCTTGTGACCCTTCACTGGTCACTCTCCTCTTGCTGGTGGCTGATCTCCAAAGCTTTGGGGGGGAGGCTACATTTCAAGGACTTCTCCTGACTCCTCCATGTCCCAGGCAGCCATCTTTCCTCCCCACTCTTCTAGAATTCCCTGTTATCTCTGGATGGAGGGTCAATTCCCACCCCCAAAAAGGCAAGTTCTGAGGGGAGTAAGTGTCTGGCCAGCTGGTGACAGAGAGATAGAGCAACACTGGGGTTCTGGAAAGAGGCCAGATATGTAGGCCACACCCTACTGCGGCCATGTGCAAGGAGTTCACATACGACGTTATTCTCCCTTCTGTGACTGTGCTTCTGAGCCTAAGCGCAGCTCCTGTGATCTAACAAGTGGAAGGATACGAAGGGGATCCGTCTCAAGTGCCTTGAGGACAAGGCAGGTGACATCATGCGTGAGGGGGTGGAAGTGAGCATGAGGGCGTCACGGACCCTTAGAGCTCATGCCCTTCCTGAAGGGGCCATCCATCGCCAATTTGCCAGACCTTCCCATTTCTACAGGAAATCGGAAAATCTGGATATTTGCATGAAATCTGTGTTTTTTTTTTTTTTTGCTATCTGACTTTTAAAATTTTGTCATCCTTTTTATTAGTACATGCTTGCTGTACATAGTGATTACATTCTTGCAGGGAGTTGGTGCGTGCATGTAATACGTCTTTCTTTTTTCACCCCCTTCACCTCCCCCGTCTCTTGGTCCCCTTCCCTTTTGCAAGAGTTCTATCTCTGTGTTTCCTTTATTTTGCTCTTTTATTTATTTATACTTTGGGTTTGTCATATAAGAGGAACAATTTGATGTTCAAGCTCATGTGTCTGATTTATCTCACTTAATGTTATGGACTCAGGGTGCACCCACTTTCCTACAAATGACTTCTTTATCCTTCTTTATGGCACAGTAGTACTCCATTGTGTATAGCTATCACAATCTTTTTATCCATTCATCTCTGGATGGACATATAGGCCACTTCCAAGATTTACCTATTATGGATAATGCTGCTATAAACATGGCTATGCATGTATCCCAGTGATATGATATCTTTTTCCAGTGATATGATATTTTTTTTTCCAGTACCGGGAATTGAACTCATGACCTTGAGCTTGCCAGGCAGGTGCTGTGCCACTGAGCTAAATCCCCAACCCCTATCTTTAACTCTTTAGGGAAGATCTTTAGAAGAGGGATAGATGCATCAACTGGAATTTCTAGCTCTAGTTTTTTAAGGAATCACCATACTGATTTCTATCATAGTTGTAAATAAAAAATAGATAATAGGGAAAAATGAGCTGGAGAGAAGGAGGAGAGGATGGGGGGCAAATGCAGTCATGAGGGAAGGGAGGAGGCAGGGACATACAAAGCATTAAGGTGTGTTATGCACCAACTCCTCATGATGAATGTAATCACTATGTCTTACAAACATGCACTAATAAAAAAAGACAAGTAGATTCAGGAAAAAACAATGCAGAAGAGGTCCTTTCCCCCACCGGTCTCACCAGCATTTGTTATGATTTGATTTCTGGATGATAACCACTCTCTCTGGAGTAGGGTGGAACCTCAATGCCATTTTAATTTGCATTTCTCTAATATCAGGCTAGAGGTGTTGGGCATTTATTCATACATTTATTGGCCATTTGTACTTCTTCTGAGAAGTATCTATTCATTTTAGTTGCCCATTTTTTGGACTGAAGGAAATCTTTTTTTTTTTTTTTTTTTGAGACAAGATCTTGCTATGTAGTTCAGGCTGGCCTTTAACTCTCTATGTACCCCAGCCTGGGCTCAGATTTACAGTGATCCTCCTGCCTCAGCCTCCTGAGTGCTAGGATCACAGGTATGGACCACCACACCTGGTGCAATCTGATTTTAAATGATAAGTGAATGGGATCCTGCAGTAGCTTTCAAACTGTGGACTCTCCTCTTGGCAGTAATGGGACTGCCCACCTGAAAATGCAGACTCAGAAGAAATGCAGACCAGGGAGGTGGCGTCCCAATCTTTCCCCCTCCCTGCAGACTTCTATGATTTACCCTCCCAGAGGTGTGCTGGGCAGATTTCTGTCCCCGTACAGGGCTGCCGTGAGTGGGAGAAGAGAGGCCTTGGACTGTGTGGCCATCCAGAGAGGCGTCCATCTCTGCGTGTAGCGTGCTCACAAACCCCTCTCCCTTGCCTGTGTTCGGGTCACGTCTCTCCAGACTCCAAGCCGCCCCTCCTTCCAATCAGACCCCGACACTGGGCCCTTTCTGGCCTTCAGCCCCTCCTGAGAGCTGTAGGTGCTGACACCACCCCCAGCCTGACCTGCCAGAGACCACATGCACCAACCAAGCTTCTGCCCAGCCCAGCACACCCTACTTACCACCGAGGAGGAGCACAGCTTTGAAGGCCATCACACAGCAGCACGCTGAGGGGAAGTAGAGGTCCAGAGCTGAGGGTGTCTGTTCCCCTGAGGGTAGTTAAAATAATGACTCAGGCCTCAAGGGGGCGGGAGGAGGGGACAGTGGAGGAAAGGGCCTGGGTGGGAACTCGGTGGGAACAGAGGCCCAAGAGAGCCTGGAAGCGGGAGGGAACCACAGTCGCTCCCGCTGCCACCCCCTGCAGGTTCTGGCCTCCTTCTCCCCGTAGATCGCCCTCCCCTCAGCTCTCGAGAGCCAGCTGGTACCCAGGGGACCTCACTGGCTGGGGCCACAGGGCTCCCTGGGGCTGCACACATACAAGGGGAGAAAGCCGAGCAAACTGCAGCAGAGGCCCCAGCACATGAGGGGGAGCCTAGAGAGGAAGGCACCACCCCAGAGTGTCAAAAGCGTGGGCAGGTGGAAGGAGCCAACCCCAGGTCAGGGTATTGGTTTGAAAACCAGATCCCTTAAGCCGGGTGTGTTGGTGCACACCTGTAGTCGCAGCACTCTGCAGGCTGAGGCAGGAAGATCGTTGCAAGTCCAAGGCCAGCCTGGACTACACGGTGAGTTCAAGGCCAGCCTAAATTGCATAGTGAGACCCTGTCTCAAAAAGACGAAAACAAACAAAACACACCAAGCACAGGGGTGCTGCCTGTAATTTTAGCACTTTAGGAGCCTGAGGCAGGAGGATTGCAAGTTCATGCCCCACCTGAGAAACTTAGTGAGACCTTGTTTCAAAATAAAAAATAAAATAAGCTGGGGGTAAAGTTCAGTGATAGAACACCCCTAGGTTTAATTGCCAGCATTACAAAAGTGTAGATCCCCTCCAAAGAATGGATAACCAAAATATTAAGTGCATACAATAAACTTGGCAGAAAGTGAAACCAGATGACAGAGGTGGACAACCATAGAAAAGAACTTGATTTTATCTTAATTGACAGAAGCAAGACTCTGGAATGCCTAATGTCATATGAAATTGAACAACTGGCAAAACTCTTTGGTGAGGCTGGAAATCAGAGGAGTGATTGCTTCTGCGGGTTGGGGAGTTTTAAACATTTGTTATATTTAGCATTTAACACTTAGTATGGTAACACTTGTTAACTGGGGGGAGGGGCACAGGAGGGAGATAAATGAGTGGTTGTTATTTATTCTCTAACTCTCTGTTCAAAATATTCCACACTGAAGCATAAATAGGTAAGTGTTTCTCAAAAACATGGAAGAAAGAGCCTATGTAGAAAAGCCCAGGAACAGACTTTGAAGGTGATATGACAGCATAAATCATATGCATTTGAGTTACTTAAAACATGTAAAATGGGGCTGGGTGTGGTGGCGCACACCTGTAATTCCAGCACTCTGTAGGCTGAAGCAGGAGGATCCATGCAAGTTCAAGGCCAGCCTGGGCTACAAAGTGAGCTCAAGGACAGCCTGAACTGCATAGCAAGACCCTGTCTCAAAAATACAAAAAAAAAAAAAAAAAAAAAAAAAAAAGACATGTAAAATGTAGATTGAATATCAAATATAAATAATTGTATTTATTTTTGTAGTGCTGGGGATAGAACTTGGCCCTTGTGCATGTTAGGCAAGTGGTCATCCCTAAGCCACACCCTCAGCCCTAGAAAATTGTTTTCTAAACAAAAAATTTACCTCAACTTACTTGAGCTGCTATTTTGTGGACATGGGAAACGGATTTTGTTGCCTGCACGATGTCCCTGAAGGTAATTGGCTCAAGGACTGCACTTCCCATGCGGAGGCTGGCTGGCTGGCTTCTTCTCAGATGCCTGCTCCCCACCCAGGCAGACCCTTCTCCCCAGGAGGCGAGGCTGAGCACTCGGCAGCCGGTGGCACCTTGTCACGAGTTCTGTGGGTCTGTGAGCCGCTTGCTGTGTTGGGGCCACAAACTAACATACGCATGATCCTCTTTAACATAGAAATTTAAAGACCTCTTCTTTTTTCCTCCATTTTCACCTCAGCTTGTCTTCTAGACACAATCTTGAACAGTATCACACTTGATACACAGTCTTTAGTTTTGGGCTTCCTCCCACAAACAAGTCTTAAGGCCAGTGTTTTGCTGATCTCAACAACTGTAAAAATGTTTAACTTTGCCTCAGTTGTATTATCCCTGGTCTCAGCAAAAGCTATTTGTTTTCCACTCATATTTTTTAGAGAACAATTGAGCAGAATGGAATAGTCTTCAATTACTACTAAATACCGCACACTGGCATGAGAGCGTCTTCTTCCTAGCCCGGGTGCCTCCACCCTTTCTGACCTCCGAGGGCCTCGTGGGGACTCCAAACTTAAGGGAACCACCACTCTTAGTAAATTTTTTTAAGGTTATCCCTACAAAAGTATAACCATTTATTTAATAATCTTTTCAAATCAGTGTGAAGGAAGACATTTCTGTAACCCTTTACCAAGATGACCCATGGCAGCCCAAAGAATGGAGAACCTGACTCATTTTCTCACAGTTTAAGAGCCACGTTTGGGGCTTTGTTTTATTTCATTTCTCTTTCTGCTTTTTCTTACTAACACATAATATTCATACATATTTATGGGGCACAAGATAATAGCCTCATACACCTACTCGATGTGTAATGATGAAATCAAGATAATTAGTATTTCCATCTTCTCAAACATTTATCATTTCTCTGTGTTGGGAACTCTCAGACTGTTCTAGTTTTTTAGGCATTTGTCATAAATTATTGTAGACTATAGTTATCCTACTGTGCTTTGCAACAATTCTCTCCAACATTTTTTGGCACCAGGGACTGGTTTTGTGGAAGAAATTTTTTCCACAGACTGGGGGAAGGGATGGTTTGGAGATGACTCAAACACATTACATTTATTGTGTACTTTATTATTATTACATTGAAATATATAATGAAATAGCTCTACAACTCTCCATAGTACAGAATCAGAGGGAGCCCTGAGCTTATTTTCCTGCAACTAGGCATGCTGCACCAGCATCATAAGCATGATGCCACTGTCATACATACACAACGTAACTGGAGAAGTGTGCAGTGTGAGAAAGAGGCACAGACAGACGTGGCAAATAAAAATAATGGCCATAAGCATACTAAAATAAGTGCTGGATCTTGACTTAAAGCCTAAGACCAGATGCAGCTTCATTGTCACCTGCCACTCACTGATACGGTTTTGATGTGAGTCTGCAGGCATTTGATTTATTATGGTCTCTCTGTCATCAAACCTCTCTACTAAGGTTAATCTGTATTGGCAGCTACTCCCCAGTGCTAGCATCACTGCCTCCGCTCTACCTCTGATCATCAGGAATTAGATGCTCATAAGCTTTGATTCCCACCCCTGCTGCACAGTTCACAGTAGGGTTTGTACTCCAATGAAAAACTTATGCTGTCCTGATCTGACAGGTGGTGGAACTCAGGCAGTGATTTGCATAATGGAGAACTGCTACAGATGAAGCTTTGCTCACTTGCTCACTGCTATTCTCCTGCTGTGCACCCTGGTTCCCAGCAGGCCACAGATACTGGTGGGTGGCCTGGGGATTGGAGATCCCTGCTATAGAACACCAGAACTAATTCCTCTAATGGTGTATTGGTACACATTATTTAACCCCTCTCTTTCCACTCCCCCCAACCCCGCATCCTTTCTCAGTTTCTTGTTCTTTAAGGTTAGGAGAATCTCACTGGACATAAGAATAGCTTCCTGGTTTCCTAGGAAGGGTCCTTAGTGGGTGATCCTCTTTCTGTTTCTAGTGACCTCTATTCCACTGTCTTCTATGCAGTTAAAAAACTTTTTTTGCTTCTAGAAATGAGTGAGAGCAGGTAGTATTGATCTTTTGGTGCCTGGGCTTGTTTTACTGATTGTAATATCCTGCAGTTAAATTCACATTGCCACCGATAATAAGATTTCACTGTTTTCATTATTTTGCTTAATAATATATAAACCACACTTCCTGTATCAGATCATCTGTCAATGGATACCATAGTGTGACTAGTACTGCAATAAGTATGAGAATTCATGTATCTCTTTAATATATTATTTCATCTTCTTTAGCTATACACCCAGTAGCAGGGTTGCTAGATCATATGGTAGCTCTAGTTTTAGTTTTCTGAGGAACCTCCATTCTCATTTCCACAGTGGTTGTACTAATTTACATTCTACCAACAGTAAATAAGAGCTTCCCTTTCTCTGCACGTGCATTTATTACTTCCTGTCTTTTATAGCAGTCAGTGTAACTAGAGCAAGATGTCATAGCAGTGTGATATGGTTTGTATTTCCCTGATGCTTACTGATGTTGAGCATTTTTAATATACTTGTTGGTCATTCATATATCTTTTTGAAAAATTTTCCTTCAGATCATTTTCCCATTCTCAATCAAATTATTTGATTTTTGCTGTTAATTTCCTTGTATATTTTGTATATTAATTTCTCATTGGATGAATAGTTTGCAAATATTTTCTCCCACTTGGCATGTAGTCTTTACACTGTTCTATTCTCTATTTTGACTGAACAAAGAAATCTTAACTTGCATTACAGGTCATCAGGAATGGCAGCACATGCTGACAGTTGCACACAATAATTCTGGGATTTTCAGATAAAGCCTGAGTCCCTAAATTATGCAGAAGTCTCTCACATTACCAAAAGTCCCATCAGGTCTAACCAGCGAGCATAGCAAAAGGGAGAGCTATGTGCTGAGGTCTGGGGATAGTGGCAAGTGGATTCCTAATCTTCGCTTAGGTCATATCTGATCGAGCCCAATACAACATCATCGGTCACTTGTTTTTCTAGTAAGTAAAGCACACCGTAAGTCAGGAAAACGTTTGTAACATAATTTCGTTTTAAGAAATCTCAATATCCTTCCCTTAACATTTAAAATTGTGGTGTTTGGGTCCCAGAAGGATAGATTTAGCATACTGAAAGCGCTGACAACATATTATTGAGCTGTGTAGCTTCAGAAAGGCACTGAACTAATGGTCATCATCATATGTCTGAAATCTTGTTAGTCATTTTAAATCTTTTTTTTGTTTGTTTTTTGTCTTTTTGAGAGGGTCTCACTATGCAGTTCAGGCTGGCCTTGAGCTCACTTTGTAGCTCAGGCTGGTCTCG